AGAGTCAAGAAAAACACTCTTCTGGAGTGCCTGAAGGCTTTGTAGTGAGCGTCGCATGCTCGCATTTATCAAGAAGTCTCAGGGGTTGACTCAACTATTGTTGATTGTCAGGGTACAATTGTGTATTTAGACTTCTCTTTTTCCCATATTAGTGCTGAAAACTACACTCCCAGGGAGGGGCATGAATTGCAGATCTGTCGCATGATAGTAGCCCTATGTGTCACATGGGGGGACTGTGGAACTTGTGAACGCTTTTTTTCGTACAAATTTCTGAGTATTTTATTGCAATTCTTGATGTCTTCGGGGAGACAGCAAATTTAGGATGTTCGAGTAATTCTGCAAAAGACAGGATTTGAACGAAAACAGTCAGATTGGCCAGCATTATTTCAGAAAATGTGGCTTTCACACACCTTACACTATTAAGGTAATGAGCATCTATTTTTAGAAAAGTATTTATGCAGCAGAGATTATTTGGTTCTATCAGCTATTGGGTTATCAAGTGGAGTAGCAGCTTAAAGATCACACCTGGTGGTAAAGCCTTGCATTTCACTGATAGTTTGTTCTGGATCATTTTTAGCAGGATTTACTGGAACTTATGCTTTATGGCAATTAATTATATTAAAGTAATTTTTCAATTTTGCTGAGTAATGTAGGCTACTGTCTAAATATATACCAGTTTCTTCAGCAAGAGTTTGGGAGGAAATACAAACAAGTTCTTTCTGGGATTCCTATTATTGTAGAACTGTCTGGTCTCTTGGTCTTTTTTTTTTTTTTTTTTTTTAACCTGTGTGTTGGCTATTAAAAAGAAGGTTTTCTTTAATTGTTAGGTTTGGGTTTTTTTTTTTTTTTTATTTAATGAACAAGTCAGATTGGCCAGCAATATTTCAAAAAATGTGGCTTTCAAACACCTTGCACTATTATTCGAGAAGTATTTATACAACAGGGATATTTGCTTTCAGGTAGACTATAGAGATACTTTAATGGAAATTAATATGAAGTTGCAGTTGACTTGAAGGTAAGCAAACTATTGCAGGGGAAAAATTAAATGGTTCATATTGTAAAAACTATTTCTTCATCTCCTTTCTAGTAGATGCTTGTCAGATACATTGCTGAAATAGTGTAACACTACTGAGTCATTAAGATTTCTGTATATAATTTTGTGTAGCTGTAGCAAGACTGATGGATTTTTTAAACATTCATTTCCAGTAAGTTATATAGTAGACAACTCAGATTCTGCAAAATACTTTAACATGCACATTAAGTCCTTCTGAATTCAGTAAGATCTAAGGGCACATTTACATGCTTTGTTGTATAAGGTCTCAGGAGAGTAAAGACGATAAAAAGTCTTGCAAGGAGAGGACAAATTCTGAATATCTCCCATTTGGAAAGAGTAAACTTTATAAACCTAGTTCTATGAATTAAAGAATGTTCTAGGAAAAAAATTTGTATGTGTAAAATAATTCCTTCCACTGAACTTCATTGAGCTTTTAAGAACAAAGATAGTTGTTCAAAGTGTTCAGTGGTAGAGATCCGTGTTTGACCAACTCAGATCCTGAAAATCAGGCCTAAATCACCCCTTAAGAAGCCTACAGTATCTTGTTCAGGAATGCTTCTGTCATGAATAACACCTCAGTTGAATTCATCTGAACTTTCCAGACAAATATATTCTGTGTAAAAATTAGATATGAATACGGCTCCAGAATCCAGTTTCTTGACAACCACTGATGTTTGCTTTCCAGAAATGTGTGCTCTATTGGCCAGAAAAAAGAGGAATCTATGGGAAGGTTGAAGTCCTTGTTAACAGCGTGCAAGAATGCGAGAACTATACTGTCCGTCAGCTTACAATAAAGGTAACAATCTGCATCTGAGAAGCATTGTTCCTAATTTTTTTTATTTTTTAATGTTAAATGAAGTTAAAGTGTTTTTTTCTTTAAAAGGCATAATTTTTTACAGCAGGAGTAACTGAGCTATGAAGCTCACAGCTGCAAGGTATAATTGAGACCAAACCGGTGGAAGACTTATTGTATTGCTGCTTTGTATCACTCTGGCAATAAAAAAGGGCTTCAAAAAGAGCGCAAGTTTCACTCTCCTGAATTACATTTGCTTCGAGACCTTTTTAGCATTGCCAAGGCGATGTAAAGGGATTTTAGTTAATGCAAGAACTAGCACAGCATCATTCAGAAAAAGATACGCTGCTCATGTTGTGTGCTGAGTGCATCTATAGCCCATTTGAGAAGCTAAAAATATAAGGAGTATATAAGGAAAGCTTCATGCTAATGAAGCCTAATGACTGAGCATTAACTGTGCAAAATACACAGGCAGATGGTCCTCTTGTAAGTTACTTGCCATATTACGCTTACATTCTATCGGATTGCATCATCTGCTGCTCCTGACAGAGCATTGCGATAAATAATGAATTGAGAAAATTTGTTTGGTGTTTCAGCAGAGGCAGTGAGATGTGGGCAGAAGTCATATCGTCCAACACAAATTACTCTAGTCCACGTTTACCCTCTCTGCTTGTTGAAGTGGTAGCAGCCTCTGTTGGAAGGAGTAACTGGACAAACTGGGATGTTTGATTAACCTAGAAGGGCAGTTCTTCTGCACCTTTAACTTGAATACTCTTGTAATTTTAGTATCAGACTCTTATGAGAATGTCCTTAAAAGGGAGCAGAAATATATAATAATTCAGAGATTCAGAAGCGCAGACTGAGCTAATCTCTCTAGATCTTATTGCTGATCTAACAGAGACCTCTGACAATTCCCAGTTGACAACACAGTCAGCAAGTCAGTAGTCAGATGGACAGAGCAGAACTTACATAGCTGGAAAAACAGCTAAGTTTTCAGGTGCACAAACCCTTCTTACAACTTTGGCCCTGGAAGCATGCCTGTTCCCTGCAATTGCATCCTCCGAGTCTAATAAAAAAAAAAAGTTGTTAAATCTCTCAACATTTTTACTGTCTTTTTACCATAACATTGAGAGAAATAAAAAAAGAATTGTTCACCACAAGTGTGCATATAAAATCTTCATGTTCTCTTCAGCAAGGGAGTCAGTCTCAGAGTGTGAAACACTACTGGTACACGTCCTGGCCGGACCACAAGACCCCCGACAGCGCTCAGCCTCTGCTGCAGCTCATGCTGGACGTAGAAGAGGACAGGGTGGAATCACCTGGCAGAGGGCCTGTCATTGTGCACTGCAGGTAATTTGCAATCCTTCTCTGAAATGACTGCCCAAAGCAAGGCCACAGCAAATCACATCAAACAGTTCTTCTCCTAAACAAAGAACGTATTTGGGGAAGAGTAAAAATCCCCAGATCCTCTTCATGCTAATTGACTTTTTCAGTTCGTATTTGAGGATTTGAGAGAATTCCCTTGTTGCTAGCAAATTGTTTCTGAACCGTTCTCCATTGCTCCTAATGAACTCTGGTTTTGAAAGACCAGCTGGAAAAATTATTAATTTTCTGTTTCTTATTCAATATTTGCTTTCTTTTTAGTCTTGTTGCATAATTACATACCTAAGTTAGATGCAATGCCATGTGACTGATTGACTAAAATGTTGTAAAGCAAGACAATCTTGAATAACAGACATCAGGTACAAATTTGGAGACCAAAACACATCAGTACTAAAATTTGTGAACGTTTTCACAAAGGCAGTTGGTTTGATACTCAAGAGCAAAGTGTTATTCAGTACTCAAGAGTAGGGTGTTATTCACACAAGTTATAATGAACCAGAAAAAGTCCTTCTAATAATTCTAATTGAATTCCATTTTATTACATTATATTGATTCATTGCTTCATGTTGCAATTTAAGTGGTAGGAAGTAGCACTGGATTCATTATATTGGTGGAAAGAAGTAGGTGAAGCAAAACAGAAAAAAAAATTTAGATCAATCTTTCCTTACTTGCTTTGTCTCATAACTGTGATGATACATCTCTTACAGTTGGGATAGTACTTTTTGTCCTTAGAAGTACATCAAAACCAGAACTTTTCATCTTGAACTACTTCTTTTCAACTCCATACTTAGGAGATTTAGAGAAATGGAAGCCAGATTTGAACCACCCATCATTTTGTAAAACCAGAATGTGATGAACAAGGAACTTTCCCAAATTTTATGCAGCTGTTTTTATCAGGAATTGTAGTTTCCCTAAATAATCCACAAATCTGTGGATGGCTATTGAGAGTTCCATTTTTCCAGAGAGGATCTTCAGTACTGAAGGTCTTCAGAAGAACAGGGTGTCTTTCTGAGGTGATACGACAGCTAGATCTGTAACCATGACCTGGAATTTATTCATAGTTAAAGACCCAGGTGTGATCTCAGTTGTGGTTAAAATTAATAGTTCTTCAGTGATAACTCAGCTATCTATACACTCACTACTCTGTGGTCTACAAAATGGATAAACTCACTCACACTCCATTTTCTAGTCAGATAGTTTCTTCCCTGTTAATTTGAGTTGCAGCTGAGGTCATGCAGGTCTTAGCGAGCCTGTATACACTTTATATTTGGACCTCACATACAAATGCACAATTCTGTTATTTCCAGAGAAACATTACAGTGCACACTCAAACAATGATCCTTAATCTGAGGCAGAAATGCTTTAATAATTTCTTAATATTATACAAGTGGAAAAAAAAAAATTCAGTGTCTTCTTGTAGCCTATGAGCACAGGGTGCTGTCTTACACACTTCAGTGATGAGCCCTTTCAGGATTCAGGGTATAAGATGGACTTGACTTATCTTAGCAAAGTAGTTCCTATTCTGCAAAAGTGTAGGAAAAAGAGTAAACATTTATTTTGGTCCTTGAAATCAGCAGATCTGATTACACACACACCAAGGACACAGATTTCCAAAGAAAGTTAGTTTTAAATTCTTACCAATCTTTATAGTAGCATTTGCTGGAAAGGTATATGTTTCCTCTCTCATGTCACTCATTGAAAGCATGTGGTAATTATGGAAAATATCTCCTTAATCTGGCCTTTGGATAGGTAGATAGTACATTAAAATAAGTGGATTTAATGGCAACTAGGTGGTCTGGGATCAAATACAAGTTTTAATTGAGGGATTTCAAATATAGAGGGAAAAGATTTTTTTTTAATTTAAATTGAATCATTAAGGAAGAATTACAACACAGAATTATATTCTGCAAACGTAAAATTAATTTAGCCCCATTTAGTCAGTGAAACCAAGTTGCCCATAATCTGGATCACAATGAAGAACCAGCAATTTGGCATACTGGAGGACTTGTAAGAGTTTCTTAAATGAGAATAAGGGATAACATTTTCATGTTCAGAAACTTGACACATTTATAGTTATTGCTGGAAATTTCTGGCTTTCTTTCCTCATCAGCTAGTGCATGAACATATGCTGTAAAAAGCATACTGCCTGCATCTCTTAATACTGAAATCATAATATTCCAATATTCCACACTCCCAATTAACAGACCACAGTCATTACGAATAAGGTACTACATCTTAAACTCCTAAAAAAAATATGGAAAAATAGATATATAGATATATAGATATATATTTAAAAAAAAAAAACAAAAACCAACAACCCAGGTTTGGAGGCTTGAGAATACTTCAAAGTAATTAGCTCTCCAAATTTTCCAGATATACCAGGAAAGAAATGTCAGGCAAATGAAGAACAATGTCATTTTTATCTTGCACTGTCTGAAATAAAGCTATGTAATAAGATAGGACTGGCACGCCTGAGCTGAGGAAGAAAATGCATTAGAAAACCCTAGTCTTTGTTTAATACGTATTAAGAACTTGTCCAAGGACACTTAATCCACCCCCAAAAAAGGGAAAAACCCGAACCCTTCATTATAGCCAACTTCACTTAGATCTGAATTGTTTAAACTTGTTAGCCCCGCTTTTAAGGGTTTCAAAATATTTGAGGAAGAGAATGGGAATGTGCATTAGATTGTTTTCTCCAAATTCCTCTTTATAAACTATGTCCTTCTCTGTTTGGATACATTCATCCCATAGATATCGATATCCAAGGAGACAGGCTGTCAACTCAGGATCTTCAGCTCACTCGATCCTTTCTTATGCTGCCAGTTTTACATCTCGCTATCCCCTCATGGTTGGCTTAGACATCCTCATATATTTAATTTGCTGAGTCCTCTTGGAAGTTTTCACTTCCAGATGGGAGGGCTCTTGAGTCTCTAAAACACTCCTAGCTTTCATTCCATGGGGAGTAGGTTGTCATTTGTTTCAGCTGTAGCAAATGGACATACTCCTGGTAACACTTTGCACTCAGATATATCGAGCTTCTATCTGAGACACTCAACATATTCTCCCTGGCATTAATTTAAATAACTCTCGCAGTGCTCTTATGAGGCAGGTAACATTCATACTCAGAGATGAAGAAAGCAAGGCACCAAATGTTGGTGCTTAAGTATTTACTATAAAGCCAGGTATGGAGATCTGGACCCCTGACTCCATGTTTTAACTATTTTCCTCACATTTTCCTGCTGTGCAGCATGACAGGGATGAGTTGTGCTGAATTCCATATTACTTAAGCAAGAAACAGAGTGAGGCAGAGATTCTCAAAAATTTTGGAGGCCCAGGGAGTAAAAATAATGCCAAAATGGCTGTTTCCAAGCAGGCACCAAGAAAACCTGGAGAGTTACAACACTAAATCCTTCTCCCTCCTGCAGAATCACAGGAGAGGGCGTTAACTTCATCAGCATGCTTCTAGATCCTTTTTACTTTAATGGTTAGAGGTATGGTTAGCAAAACTCCTGTATACTTTGAGGGCTTCAGACATAAAGCCCCGCTGATTTTTGCCTTTAGGTGGGTTTTTCCTCCAGGTCAGTGCATATCTCCATCGTCTGTTTGGACTGTGCCAGAGAATATTTGGACTTTGTGGTACTAATGGAGATAGATAGTTTTTCTTACCATACACTTGTGTGCAAACTGGAAATGTGTAAGCCTCACAAATTACCCACACCAACTGGACTACTGGAACAGCACACCCTTTCATTTCTCTAAAGTGAGCTGAGAAGTTACCCTTGCTAGTCATGCACCCAGGAACCATGCTAGAGCCATGTTGGTTCCAGCAATTGCATGTTTCATATTTTTTGTGTTTTCATATCTATTTAGTGTTTTCCACTTAATCCTTTGATCTGTGAACTCTGTTCACCTGTTAAATTTTGCCTTCTTTTCAGTGCTGGTATAGGAAGAACTGGATGTTTTATTGCCACGGCCATTGGTTGCCAGCAGTTGAAAGAAGAGGGAGTTGTAGATGCATTGAGCATTGTCTGCCAGCTACGAGTGGATAGGTGAGTTCTAGAAGAACCATAAATCAGTCAATGATTCTGAAATGGTTCCGTAATGATCAGTCATGATTCAGTAATGACTCTGAAAACCTTTTCACAGTTGAACGTTGCTTTACATGAAGTGGCTGCCATCACTTTTGCTGACTCTTATGACAGCATTAGCTGAATATTTGAAGTAATATTTGTATTTAGATCCTGAGTAAGGAATATTGTTTTCTGGGTGAAACTGGAGAATGAAATTCTCCTGAGATGGCAACCCTATGGCTGCTGGGCACTTGGCACTCCTCTTTTCCCCTCCTGGAGCTTTCTGCTGTCTGTGGCATCCCGCTAGGACACAAGAGATGGGGCCATCTGGAGGCAAGGGATTGTTTTTGAGTGTGGGTTGACAGGAACATCCAGGCTCACTCAGTGTGTAGTTTCTTTACGCAGAGGAGAGAGCCAAATCTGGTGCTGTTGCTATTCCCTCAGCTGTGCTGGGGGTCCTTTTGAATTGGATTGGCCAACTACCCAGCTTAAGAAAATAGCAAGGCATTTGTTGCAGAATTTTCCTAAGTCAGATCAATTCCCTGATTGAATTCACAGCTTGGGAGCAGAAACACTGTAAGCCAGCATTGTTGCAGAGTGCTTTGTTTTGTGAAACCATGGCTGAAGAGAGATTTGTGTTGGAAAGGAGGATGTGGGTATTGTGCACAATGGAAGCTGTTGGTTTGGTTGCACTTTTCTTTCTTATTCTACTTGGGGAAACAGGATTTTGTATAAAGTAAATAAACAGGGCTGCACCAAGAATAGAAAAGTCTCGTTCCTCTCCTGCTGTAGGTACCAGGTCATATAATCTCCTTGCAAGTATCTTAACAACTCATAAGGGTGCAAATGCTGAAAAAGAGCTTAGGTCAAAGGGACAATGCAGGATTTTCGTGTTCTAAAGAGCTCTGAAAGACAGTGGAACCACGAATTGCAGAAGGACCAGAATCCATATAGTTGACCATGTTTATGGATCATCAGCCTTCTCTTCCCACACGCCTTCATCATACTAGAGATTGTAATGTGATCCTTACAGGGCAACATGAGCCACTTGGAGTGTAAAATTCTCCAAGGGGATTTCCTGACCTAAAAATCTCAGCAACAAAAAAGATGGAAGAGCTGAGGGAAAAATGCTTACTCTGTTTTAAATTATCAGCTCCAAATTTCCAGCACTCCGTTCTGATTATCTGTTCACCTTATTGAAAAAGGTTTGTAGCGTTCTCCTCCATTTTAGTATTTCTATTGTAAGATAACCTTTTTCTTATTGCTTTTACACTCCACTGTAGAGAAGTGGAAGCAAACTCTGGTCTCAGCTACATCATTTTTTATGTCATAGAAAAAAAAAATCCAAATTTTCAGCATTATAACTGACAACACAATTTCATCGAGTGTATCTGACTAATGAACTTTCTTATATGTATTAGTATCCTAGATAAACTTGGAAAGAGAATGAAAATCTGAGCCAAATATAAACATCCATAACAGCAATCTCAGTGACACAAAGCTTATTATAAAAATTGTTAAGTCTGGCGACTTACATGTTTCCATATTTTTTTTTAGTTTCAGACTATATATATAGACTCCAGAGATCTTGCTTAAGGTGCCTCAGCTCTTCATATTCTCAGGCATTGCCTGAGACAAAAAAGTATATCTGTATTTGAATTTTTAATGACGTTTTTCTGGGCAAAACTCAGTAACCAGAAACTCTTTTTCTTTCCTTTTTCCAATTGGCCATACTGCAGAACAGAGGTCACTCACCTGGCAGTCAGTCTATAGCAAGGATTGATAAGGCAGAGCCTAGCAGCCCCTAAGACTACAGTAGCCACTGCCAGCCCAACCATATCACAGGTTCATAAAGTGCCCAAGTATCACTGTTAGATGGACAAAGCTCCATGAGACTAGCTTCCCCAATGACCCAGTTGTGATGGGGTGGCTATTGGCAGGTGACATGTGAGATAGGGTCATTATGCATGGCATGAAGCTGGCAAAATGAACTTAATGTCCCACTAGACGTGGCTGCAAGTGCTGGCTTTGGCCATAGCTGTGTTGCATTTCAGTTACCAGCATGGTCAACGTTAGCAATGGAGTGCAACCAGGAGCAGAGCAGGAATAGAGATGAGGCCATCTTCCTCACAATGCTGGCCAGCAGCTGAGCTACAATTTATTCTTTGTACCTCAGATTGTCCTCACAAAACAAAACAAAAAGAGAGTTCAGCAGAAAAGGATGGTTTTGTCTGACCACCTGGGAGACAGAAACCTGCCCAAGAGGTACACTGAATATTTCATCTCTGATACTTCATCTCCACTAGGATCCCAGCCAGGCTTGCTCATGCTCAGAGCTGCACTATCCAAACACAGACCTACTGATGGAATGAACATACTTGATGGTATCCACTTGTGTGTGAACTTTTTGTCACATGGCCAAATTTCTACCAAAGTGAATTGAGCAACAGGAGAGAAGAAGAGAGCTGTGCTTGAGGGATTCAGAGTGATGCTGTAGTGATTTACCAAAGCATTCTCATTGCCCGGCACACTCAGTGAGAACTAAATAAGCATCCAGACAAATTGCAGGTGGTGGCAAAAAGTTATGCTGAAAAATAGATTGATTAATTAACTGCCTATGTAGCCCCTCTGGAAGCAGAGTTTAAAATAGAGCTCCAGCAGGGAATTGGACAGGAGAGAGCTCTTCCTAGGAAAGGTATGTCCAGGTGCCACTTTTTTCATAGCTCTTCAGTGTAAGTTAAGGGGTGAACGGATCTGGCAGTAATCATCTGTGCTGAGCTAACATGAGGAAATGGACTATCCACTCAAAATCTTGACCCAGGATGGAGATACAGCCATGCTCGGTGTGGATTCATAGAAAGACAGACCCACAGGTCTGCTCAGCTTACTTTTCCCCCCAGTTCATTTTTTATGTTCTGCAACAGAAACAGGAAATGTTTGATGTGAGGCATCTTCAAGACTTACTGTGATATCGAGAAACTTCGCACATTCTTAACCTTAAAGGCACATTCTTGGAATGACATCCGATAACTTTGCTCTTGGCTCCTCAGACAGGATGAAAAGAGTTTCCAGTGTGCGTCAATTCATTGTTTAAGTGTTTTGACTAATCACCTCAGGTTAAAAAAAATATATCCCAAACCCTGCATCACATTCATTCTGGAGCAGACTGCATCCAGCTGCACTAGCAGCAAGCCAGAGGGCAGGGTATAAGACCCTTCCCTCCCCCATGGCTGCCCAGACAGAGCTGGTCATGGTCCCAGAGCCCTCAGGATACCAGGGGCTGTTTCTTCTGAGCACCAGCCCAAAGAATCTCAAAGAAGCAGACAGCCCAGCAGCTTGCAGAAGAGCTGTCAGTGTGGGCTGGCAGAGGACGAAGGCTGCACACCCGGAGGTGCCGTAGCTGTGGGTACATCCCTTCTGGGCACTAGGGACGCGGGAGAGGAAACCTCCCTCCTTGAGCAGATTTCCTCCTGAAACACTTCCACACAGCCTTTTGCACTAACTGATGTCTTAGGGTTACAGATAATGTCTTGCTGTTAAATGTGAGCCTTGCACAAGAACAAAGAGGAGAAGGACTTGGGGATACTGGTAGATGAAAAATTGGACATGAGCTGGCAGTGTGTGCTTGCAGCCCAGAAAGCCAACCGTGTCCTGGGCTGCATCAAAAGAAGTGTGACCAGCAGGTCGAGGGAGGTGATCCTGCCCCTCTACTCCGCTCTTGTGAGACCCCACCTGGAGTACTGCGTCCAGCTCTGGGGGCCCCAGTACAGGAGAGACATGGAGCTGTTGGAGCGAGTCCAGAGGAGGGCCATGAAGCTGATCAGAGGGATGGAGCACCTCTCCTATGAGGACAGGCTGAGAGAGTTGGGGCTGTTCATCCTGGAGAAGAGAAGGTTCTGAAGAGACCTTAGAGCAGCCTTTAAATATATAAAGGGGACTTGTAAGAAAGAGAAAGGCTTTTTACCAGGGCCTTTAGTGACAAGACAAGTGGTAAGGGTTTTAAACTAAAAGAGGATAGATTTAGATTAGATATTAGGAAGAAATTCTTCACTGTGAGGGTGATGAGGCACTGGAACAGGTTGCCCAGAGAAGTTGTGGATGCCCCCTCCCTGGAAGTGTTCAAGGTCAGGTTGGATGGGGCTTTGGGCAACCTGGTCTAGTGGAGGGTGTCCCTGCCCGCAGCAGGGGGGTGGGAACTAGATGATCTTTAAGGTCCTTTCCAACCCAAACCATTCTATGATTCTAAGAATCCTGTGTATAATAGCACTGACAAGGCCAAGTTGTCTGAATGTCTGTATAAGACTCAGGTGCCCCTAAGCTAACAGGGATGTTTGCCCATACAGGGTTCAGAAGCATCGTAACATCTCAATTATGCTTGCTAGCACAGGGCTAGCAAGCTGAGGTAGCGCTGAGCTCAGCCCCAGCCAGGCTTATACATGCCTGGGGGTTTTGTATGTTACTTGGGGATTTTGTGTGTTACTTCAGCACCGAAGAGGAAGGAGCAAGGATCTCCCCCACAGACTAATGCAGCCAAACTTGTTTTAACTTACCCTTCCTGCCAAGTCCTTCTCCTTGGATATGTTCCCTTCCTCCACCCCTTCCACACAGCGGATCTAACCTGGGAAACGCACTCCCTTGGAGAACATCTTGGGAGAACATTGATGGGGGCGACAGGGAGGGAAGCTGGCTGGGAAGGGGCTGCGTGGGCTGGGCAGGACACAGCAGTGAGGAGGAAGGAAGGAGGCTAGGCAGTACAGAGGACCAGAGCAAAGTCCTCCTGTCACCTTTAGAGTCTCACTGGATCTCCAGGCAGGGGACAGGCACAGAGGAGGGCAGCTGAAGGCAGTAGGCAGCCACAAGTTATGAATTTGTGGATGTCTGTGTTGGCAAAGCTAAGAGGCTGCTGCATTTTGCACCGGATGGGACCATTTATGGGCCTGTGGTTTAATTCCTAGGAATAGTGTGTCATAATAGACATGCAGCTTACTAAAAGGTGTTCTACAGTTGCCTGAGCTCACTGGAGGAGCACAGACAGCTGGTCGCTTGCTTAAAGAAGTAGGTATTATTTTAATTATGGTTTTCCTGCCACAGCCATTTAACCATCCAGTAGCACCAAGGTAAATAAAAGGACCTTATGGTTGTAGATAATGTTCTCTTAATACTAAAAGACAATACTTGTTGAGGCAGTTTTACCATTTTTCATATAGCTTTGTATATTAGTAGACCCTTTTGTTGCTAGGGTGTCTGAAGGGATCGCAAGAGGGTTTGTCAGACCTTCTCCTGTAAGATGCCTGGCTTCGACATTGCTCTGGATCCAAATCGCTCACAAATTTGATTGTTCCAATGAAGATCTAGCTGAAGCCAAATACAATACGCATCTTGATGTCTTCCTTCCCACTAAGGCCATTTACTCTTTCATTCCCCCAAAGGTAACTAGCTGCGCCAGGGTTCGCTGAGGATGAACTGCGGGCTCGGTTGTAGAAGCAGAGTAGGTAGCTCTGAATACCCTGGTAAATGAGATCATAAAAGTGGAATTAAGTAAACTTGAGGCTTCACTCCATGAGAAGTGAGACCTGGAAAGTACTGTTAGAAAGAGGGTCAGTTTAATTTCAGAGCTCAATGGTACCACTCTTACTAAATATCACACCTGCCTCCTGTAGGACATCATCCCTTTCCTACCACACTGCAATTGGCACTGGAGATATGGGACTTGATCGTGATGCTTAGACCTGAGAAAGAGATTGTTGTGAGGTGAATGTATTAAATGCAGGCATCTAATCCAAGCTGGCTGTAACTAGTCCTTTTTATGGTCAAGTGAAACTCTTTTGTATTGTTGGTGCTGAAATGAGTCACTGCTGTAAAATTTCTTAGGTGGCTGCTGTTCAGACAGGATGCATTGTAGGCGTTAGAAAGAGGACAGGAAGAGCTGTTCTCTGCACAGGCAATCTGAGGGTCACCAAAGGTTACATTTTTAGTAAAGGACAAAAATGGAAGGCCAGATTCTGAATACTCTCTTTCTCCATCAGTAGTAATGCTGCGTCCATGTATCTGGCCTTCCTTGCCCAAGTGACTGAGCAAAATTCTCTATGAAAGTTTTGAATTTGAGATGGAGGTTTTAACAATGTAGATGCCAGATGTTTTCCTCTCTAGTTCTTACCCTGATGAAATCGAGAATGGTAGTTCATGCTGGGCATGTGCTGGATGGTGTAAGTTATGAAGAAAGTAGTTCTGCTCTGGCAAATCTCCCATTTACTTAAGCAAATTCTAAGTCAAAAAGGGAGAAAAGGGCTTGTATTATCTGGTGGTCATGGGGCTGACAGGTACTGGAGGTTGTTGCATTCTTCAGAAATAAGATTTCATTCCAATGCGTTTCCTTTTCAGGGGTGGAATGGTTCAGACCAGCGAACAGTATGAATTTGTGCACCATGCATTGAGTCTGTATGAAAGCAGACTTTCTGCAGAAGCTGTCCAGTGAAGCCAAGGAGGGTAAACCCGAATGTCAGTCTCTTGAGGTAATTTCTTTCATTACCTACCAGCAGCTTCTTCAAGGAGTTTACTGCAGTGGGAAGAGTGGCTTTGAGGCCAACTTCTGAAAGGATTGTGGACGGTTTGGTGAAGTATAGAGATTGCTGGACCCTTACTGTATATGAATGTATTGTGAGCTTCCCAAAAATGATTTATAAAGAAGGTACCGTACTGAAACTACACATGGATTTCACATATATATCTAAAGGTGGGTTTAATTCTGTAATACTGATATCTGCCATATGGAATGTATGTATGTGCTACTGCTGCAGTCGGATGGACATTGGAACTTCCACAGAAGAAATGTTTATCAAGTGTATAAATGCTTTAACGTTTGCAAACTGTCTTGTGAATGGACTGTCAACTGTACTGTAAAGTGCTATTACTGATTATGTGGTGAGCTTGTTTCTTGGCCACATAATATTCTTGCTGCTAAAATTGCAAGTGTTCAATTATGGATTAAAAACAAGAAGATGAGATAATAAAAAAAACAAAAGTCTTGTTTTTGAAAATATTCAAAAGCAGTTAATATTTTATATGGAAATATATGTTCTTCATTCTATTAACTATTAAATGTGTATTTACTTAGGTCTTACAGAGCAGTTGCAGAGCACAATGTCTGTTATTCAGTATGTATGTATTTACCCTGTACTGTTGATTGTCTTAGAACATGCTTCTGCTACAGACCTGAATCCAGTGTATTTGTAAATTGTGTAAGTCATTTTACTTTTAAAGGAAACTTTGTAGCATATATTAAATGGTAAGGATTTTAAATATTTGTCTGTCTTTTATTAATATGGGATTTTTTTGCTTATGTTGTTTATCTGCTCTATCTCTTTCAGTAAGAGATAGATGCCTTCAGTGATACGAACTGCTCCACTACAGGTTATACGAGAAAGAAAATGCTGCTATGACTGTTTCCTTTACTGTTCAGTAAGAGTTTGTTTTTAAGAGAAATGCAAAGTTGGCATTTTGACTTACAGCACTGGGGGGTCTGTTTACAGGGTATAACGAGTTTTTAATGCAGTGATGTTGACTTTGCTTCATACTGCTAATAAATTACACTTGGTATAAAACATTTACTGAAGTCTCTATTCTTGCCTAGAGTAGTTAACGCACCACACACTCTTGCACCCCCATAAACAGGGTGGTTAGCCTCTACCACGGCTTCAGACCACTGGAGAGTCAATCCAGAGGACATAGGCAATCTTCCACTGACATGGAGCAAGGTGGATCACCTGATGGGAAGGAGAAATCAGCATCACTCGATCCCTTGGGGGGAGTTTACGTAAGACCCAGTGAAGACTTCAGATCCTTGCCTCCTCCTCTTCCCCCTCTCCTCCCCCTCATCACTTGGCTTTGAGAACTTGTGGAGTTAGAAGTATCAATATCGAGATTTTGCTTGATTATGTGTAGTTACCAGAAAATGTGTGTTTGTTCCTTGGATAATACAGTATATATTTATTCAGGACCATCCAGGTCACCTGCACACTTGTAATATTTCACAGGCAACAAATTGCACAAAAGTATAAACCCTTTTTTTAGACTTCTAGTCTAAAGAGATTCAACATCCTCTCTATTAGTTCCCCAGGTGTTTAAAAACCTCTCTCTCTTTTGCTTGTATTTTTTCCAATATAAAGGAACTAGTAAACTCTGAAGAATCATATGAAAGGACAAAGTGGTGTAAAACTCCCCAAAACAATTGAATAGAAGGAAGTGCTCGTCACTGACTTTTTCCCCCTGTGAAGGCACATTTCCTTCCTAGCCTTCGCTTCACTTATCTGAGGTGGGTTTTTTTAAGAGAAGCATGGGGAGTTGCTAGAGGGAAAATGGATTCTTTATTTCACGTCCTGGTTTCTACCTGTCTTGCTTTGACATTCTCAGGTAAGTGTCTCTCCCCACTTCCCCTCCACCGTTTTGCTCTTTCTGCCGCCGAGCAGAGCCCTCCGGGGCAGCTGGCGACTTAGAAAAACCGAGTCACTTCTTTGCTTGGGTTCATGCAAGAGGAATGGGGGGCAGGGCCAACGTAGCCCGTTCTGTTTAGATTTCTTTCCAAAGGAAAATAAACTGTCTCCTTCTATGCTGGAGATATACCCTCTTCTTTTTAAGAAGATCTCCTGCTAGACAATCCAGGAGCTGAGCTTTGGGACAAGCTCTTCCAAGGGGAGATTCCTATTTTTTATTCCTGTTTTGTGAAACTTCCAGAACCAGAAGCTTTCTGTGATGCTTGGTTAGAAAATACCCAGGTCTGTAAAAACAGGGGGATGACAAACGTCAACCAGGGGAAATAAACACATATGCTGGGTTTAGCACTTTGTAACTAATGAAATGCTGAGTAACAGATTATAAAAAGAGAAAAACCTAAACAAGATGTGGCAGGGAGGCTGCATTTGAAATATCCAGTTCCGTGCTCTGTAACAAGTACGGATTTTGCGCTGGTAACTTCAGTGTTTTTTGATGAATGCATTGTAGTTCTCTTCATTTGAGTGTTTGGTGTTGATCTTTAAGTGTGGTGGCATGAAGAGCTAATCTAATGTGAATTAGGTTGGTCACAAAACCAACAACTAGAGGCGTTGGAGTAAATCCAGTAAAATAGATGTATTTCCTATCAGTAAAGAGCCTCCATTCTTGTGACGGCCAGCACAGGCACTGAGAGGCACACAGATTTCAGAATGTCGTCTTGTATGTTTTCTTCAGAAACACTATGAGTTTTACTAAAACAATTTCCAGGGAGTAAATTATATTGTAAAAGGACTGTGTTGGAAAACTGAAAAAAGATGGAGAGCTCATGTAGATCTCTGTATGTTTTCAAGCAGGGGGAGTGGGATATTTATAATTGGTATTTAAAGTTAATAGCTCTTGGATTTCTTTTATATCCAGTTTAATTTTTTCTTTGGTTTTATATATAATGAAGGTCAAGGTGCCACAATAGTTTGGTTTTTGCATTCTCACACTTTACATTACCAGCACTTGCATCATGTGGGTTGTACATTTGGGGTTTTTTTTAAATAGATTCAATATATGGAAAGTTCATGAAAAGTTCAGTACGTAGAAAGTGGGAGGAGAGACTTATTTGCTGATATATTTTAAATCATCAATAATTCAGTTTTTTGTTAAATAACCATGTGTAATCTATCGTATTTTTCTGGAATTTTCCTCTTCCAGAAGGGTTTCTGATTATCCATGTCCAGAAACAGCAGTGTCTTTCAGAAAAGAGAGGAGTCATTATGGAAAAGTGCAACATGACCAACCTCAACCAGCAGTGGCAGTGGACAGCAGATGACAGGCTCCTCCATGTGAAATCCACCCGGTGCCTGAGCATCTCTACGCGCTCTGCCCTGTCATCTCGCAGCATCATCATTGATTGTCCTCAGGCAGTCAGGTGGACTTGCCACGAGGAGGATGGGCTCCTGAGGGTGGCCAACAGCTCTCTCTTTCTCACAAAGCAAGGTCAGAAGGTAATGGCCAAGCAGAGTAAGAAATACCTTCATACATGGATGCAGCTAGAATCCAGCGAGACGGGAAAACCTGTTTATGTAAATCTGTGCTCAAAGCAAGGTGAGCTACTCCTTCAAAGAAGTATCCTTGAAGTTTTGGTAACAAAAATGTGTCTTTGGTGCTAACTCAAATGTTGAAAATTATGATCTTTTATTCATACAGAAAAACATTTTTATAGTCAAAAAGAGTTTAGAGAACCATAAAAAGACCAGCTGACATGAGTGCTGTCTTCCTCACAATTGGTGGGGGGTTTAAGCCACTTTATATTTTCAGGATGTCTCTCCTTTTCTCTACTCCCAGTCTTTGGATCAAAGTGCTTATGTGTAAGTTCAGCTCACTAATCTTGTGCCAGTTCCTTTTTCACTTTTAAACAGAATTGGGGGTACTAATTCCTAGTAATCTTTAAAAATATGGATGCATACAAGTCTTTTTCTTCCCTGTTCATATTATCATACAAATCCAGTTTCAATCTGTCAAGAGCAAGAAGATATCTGAAAATCAAATATGTACACCATTATTTCTCTGATTAACCCAAATGCATGATTAGAGCAGCCATATGGCTTACACATTCACGTGTTTACACAGTACTGCTTTGCCCTTAGATGCAATATTTATGAGAACACTCAAAATCCTGAAAATAATGAACTGAATCAAAAATCTCAGAAATTCTTGCAATAGCACTTTGAGATGCATGGGTCCGCGCACATACGTGTGTTGATATACTTCTGTGGTTATATGTTTCCATATCCATAGCAAAAGGCAAGGTAGAACGGTTTGAATGCTGCTTAATAACACTTTCATTGATGTCCTGTTGTCAGTCCTTCCCGACAATCCTTCTTGCACACCATTAAGCAGTTCTTCTTGGTAAATAAGAACAATCTGCACAGTTAAGCTTTTTATTGGGGAATGCACAATTTATTCTTGTTTTTACAGGATTACAAAAAATGATTTATGGCCCAATAGCTTTGCATATGGCCAAGTTTTCAGAATGTTTAAAACAAATCCATGTTCTTTCTAACCTTTCTAACCTCCCATTCGTTGTAAGGCAGGGCACCATTTTTTTCAGCAAATTTGCACTTGCAGAACTCTACTCACAGCAGCAGGATTACTCACCTGAGTGGAGGTCTGAAAGGACAGCTTTCAGAATCGGGGAATGGAAAATTGGCCAAGATGCCATTCTAGCCCTTTCATACATTTTAGGAATTAAAAAGGCAAAATCATTTGAAGTCCTGTGTGTAGTGTGAGTATGGCTTGTTTATTCAAAGACACCAAGAAAAGTTAAGATTAGGTACCCAGGCAGTGTTATTTTTCTTGTCTGGATAAAGTGTGGCCTAACAGAGTTAAAGTAACCTTACATGCTTTTCTTAATCACAGGAGCAGTTTAAGACCAATGACTACTAAATATGACAATTGTCTTGGAGTATTAAAGCACCTTCTCATGTATTTACTGTGCTCAGTCCTTTAACGGATTTGCCTTAACATTCCTGAAATTGTCTCTGTAGACAGGCCTGTCAATCCACTTTAAGAGTCACACTGTCAGTTGTCTACTTTTTGACAGCTCTGGGAAGCTCTGCTGAGAACTCAACAGTACATTATGATCCTTGATACCTAAGAACTCTAGGTATATAAAAACCTCATACAGAAGTGAAGTAGTGCAAGGAGATTAAAACAACAACAACAACAACAACAACATCTCATGTCCACAGTGCTGGTCTTGACATCCATATGCATGACAAACTTTTCAATGTTGAATGCATAAAACTAGTCTTCCAAGAACATCTGTCTACTTTCTGTGAAAGCAGTAGTGGATCAGCCTAAAATAACATATTGAGTCTATATTTAGCTAAGACAGTAAAAACTGAGCAATGTTTTTGGAGCTGAAATGGCTGTATGTTTCTCTACCCCTGACTAACACCATATTTTTATATAATTTACCCTTTGCTTTCATAGTACTCATAAAAATAGTGATATTTTGGCAAAGGAGTAACTCACTGAATTGCATCCCAAACATCAGCCCAGATATAGTACAAGCTCCAAATTCAACTGCAACTACCTTTTATTCTGGACTTAACTCAAATGCCAAGCATGATTTTTCTGAACCTGGAGAAAGTCTGGGCTTGGATTTGGATTTCAAATCAGCCATCTGAAATGTGTTTGGATACACAATTTTTGCTTACAGTCCTGACCTAAATGACTCTTTGTGGAAATCAGGATCAGTTTAAATACATACCCCACCTCTGTTTAGTCAGAGATCACTTTAAATCTAGCTGCAGACAGTCCTTCTCACGCAAAGCCATGGTAGAATCTGGCATCTGGTTGAAAGAGCGAACATGAAGAAGGGCCAGGAGGTATTGATCTCCCTTGATACGGCGAGACTTCGGTTCTCATAAAATTCACAAGGAGATTCTGGGCAGAGAGCGGAATAGTCGCTATAGTGCTAAGGCCTTCTTTTCACTAGCTGGCTGTTGAGGTCAGAGCTTCTCTAAGTCTAGGATACAGGAGAAGGAAGAGGAATGGAAAGAGGAAGGAGGAGAACATGGGGGAGCTGAAGGGGTAGAAGGCAGGATGACTGAAAATG